CCTGGATCTTAAAGCCCACGGGCTACCCTCTGCTCGGGGACTGTCCCCTACTTGGGGATTGTCGTTCGATGAAAATTCGGACGACAAGGCTACCGAATCTCGGAGGCACCAAACCCACTAGGCGGTGCCCAAACATGAAAGGCTACGGCCTCCCTAAAAATGGCTCGGAGACGTCCGAAGTTCATAACCAGAAAGTAAGGCCCTTACGAAAAATCAAAACCTACTAAAAGGTTACCCTCGGCAAAAAACATCGTCTAAAAACACCTAAGAATCTTAAAATCCTTCGGTTTTACCAAGGATTCGAAGCCACAAATGAACCGAAGTTGCATCGAAGTCAGGCTCCCTTCGGACCTTCGAAAAATGGATGCTCCGAAAGTTACATCAGACTTTATTCTAAGGCATTAAAAACATTACACAAATAGAAAATTGCAAGTAGATGTTGGAAAAGTAAAAACACGGTATTGCCAAAAAGGGGAAAATTTTATATACTCTAAAGTATATTTACAAAGGCACGATAGAACGGCCTCAAAATAAACAAAAAAAGATATACATAAGGAAAAACTACAAAAATACTAACGCATCTACACCAGGCCTTCACCGGGGCCCGATTCATTGCCAGAAACGTCGGAGCCCTCGGAACCCTCGGAGCCTTTGGGACCCTCAGGATCGTAGAGCTCCTTTGCCTCGGCCTCGAGTCTCCTGGTTTCCTCAATCTCAGCCGATAGGTCAAAACCTCGAGCATGGATCTCTTCGAGGGTCTCTCTTCGGAGTAGCCGCTTTATATACTCAATCTTCGTCTTTAAGCGGGCCTCGACTACCACCACATCGGCCTTATAATGGGCTACCATTTCCTCGACGTCAGTAGAGGTTGCATCCAATTTGGACCTCAGTGTGGCATACTCTTATTCGAGAGCATCCTAATCCGTGACGTTCGAGCTCAGTTATGCCCGAAGATCATCATTTAGCCGAGACCACTTATCGGCTTTATCCTTCACCAACCGAAGTTGGTTCTCGACCGATACCAGATCCGCTTTTTCAGCTTCCTTCTTCGAAACCAGCAGGTCCATCTTGCCCTTCCACATTCGGTCGTGGCCTTGACCTCATCCATCTCGGCCCGAAGCTGGTCAATCGGGTCTTTCTTCTCTTGGACTTGCGAAGTTGTGTTGATAGTCACCCTGACTAGCTGCTCGTTTTTATCCACAATGATCTTTACCTTCTTAACCAGGTCGGCGTGTTCCTGCTTCACGGTTGAGGCCTCCTTCTGAGCTTTTTCCAGCTCGGCCTGGAGAATCGGGAGGTCTTTGAGGGCCTCGTCCTGCTGCTCACTAAGAGCCCTATACATGTCCTTCTTCCGGACCTGCTCTTTGAGCTCAAACTCGAGCTGGCTAATCTCTAAGCGCTAGCAGAGGAAGCTCTCAAAATGAAGCACTGAAGCCTGAAAAACAATTAAGTTAGTAGAGCACATCAAAAACCAAAGTGAGATCCATAAAAGGGTACAAAGGGCTGACGCTTACCTGGTTCAGCGCCTGTTGCGCCTCGTTGAAGAGGCTCGACGTACCCACTTCGTTCATCTTTGTCGGATCCTCCTCGGTCACCAGGCATCGAAGGTAGTTGGCTACGCCTACTGGAGCAAACAGGACCCGGGCATCCTCCAGGATTATAAGAACGACCATTCTCTTGCGCTCGGGGTCCACGCTTGGAGCAGGAAATTGCATTACTAGTTTTGGGCTCAAACTCGGCCACCCGCTCCCGATGGCACATCCTTCTTCGGGACCACCAGGTGACCAAGCCTGGAAAAATTCTCTAGTGCGGCCATATCCATGCCGCTGAAGAACGTGTTGAGGGCGTCGTCTAGGCTCTGCGCCACCTCACTTGACTTCTCTTTGCCCACTTGGGCCTCTTCGAGCATGGATTCAGTATAGGAGGGTGTCTCCACGATGTCGGTGACACCGCTGCCTCCTTCGGGACATGAGCAGCTTCCCGGAGGGCTGCAACCTCTATCTCTCCCTTGGTTCCCGAGATAGAGGGGGATCGATCTCATGGTCGTATTTCTCGATCGTCGCCTGCTCCCCCTCATTAAGGGTCGACCCATGAGCAATAAAAAGGTCGTGTCTTCAGGCTCGTCCCTGAGCCGGTAGAGAGGGTCCGGCACCCTGGACTTGGTGCTCTTTTTGGGCTTCCGGACCTGGATGGTCACCTTCTTCTTCTTCGCCTTGGCATTCAGGGAATCCGAGAACTTTCTTTTCTTCTTCTTCTTCTTCTCCTCCTTCGCGGCAAACCCAGGCTGCCCTAAAACGGAGAGTTCAGCCAGCAAAGACGGATCCTTGTCCTCATCAAACGGCCTAAGTTTTATGGTTTTAGGCATACCCGTAAGAAAGGAAAAAGAGTTAGCACTGTGTAAGATAAAAACTTGGAGGTAACTATTCAGGAAAGAACCTCACCATGGGATCGGGCCTCCTATTTGCCCTTCGAGAGCTTGCCCCATGTGCGCTCAGAATACGGCATCTGTTTGCAGATCCCCTCGATCCACTCCTTGAAACGGGGGATTGCATTAGGAACTTAGGCAACAGCCGCACGACAACAAACACGGGCAATAAGAGGAAGACTAAAAGGAGATGAATACTCAAGAAAGACAATACTTACGGGATACATTCCACTCCTCGGGGAACGGCAGGAACTCGGAAGGGATGAGGTCTTCAGTTTTCACCCGAACGAACCTCCCCTGCCATCCTCGATCTCGTTCCTCGTCGATACTCAAGAACGGAGCCTTGCTTGCCCGGCAGACGAGCTTGATCAGCCTCCCTCAGAAGATTCGGGGACTGTATAAGCGTAGTAGATGGTCGAGGGTGAACCGAGGGGTTTCGGTATTATTCACGAAATGGCGTAAAAGGATCACAATCCTCCAAAAGGACGGGTGGATTTGCCCAAGGCACATCTCGTACCTTTTGCAGAAAGCAAGAACTATGGGGTCTACCGGGGCGAGCGTGAAGGGGTAAGTGTAAACACTTAAATACCCCTTCACATGAATAGTGATGTCGTAATTAGGCCTGGGGACGACCACATCCTTACCCTTCCATTTACAGTCCGCTCGAATTATGGGTAGGGTTTCTTCAATAACAGAGCATATGTATCTCCATGCTTCCTCGCCTCGGTCCTGTTGACTAGAGCCTTTTCGACGTTGATGTCGTTCCCGATAGAGCAACCCCCAGGTACGAAGCTCTTCATGGGGGGCTCCTGAGCCACTTCGGGAACGGCCACCTCGGCATCTGTGTCCGGGTGGGAAGATGAAGGAGCGGCCTGCTGAGGCACTAACTTGGAGGTTTTTGCCATTGTAATATGGGAAATATGAAGGTTTGAAGAAAATATGAAGATTCGAAGATGGTATGAAGGTATGAAGGTCAGGGTTGAAGATTCAAAGAAAATGTGTGAGGATTAAAGATGAAGATTTGAAGGTTCAAAGAGCAATGTATGAAGATTTTGAGAAGTTAAAAGTTGTTAGAGAGCTCGAGGGTAAAATCTAGAATCGGAAAGTGGAAGAAGTGAAAAAGGTCGAAGTTTTTATAGAGGAAAACAATAAATGCACGACGCTTCGCATTCGAAGGCAGCCAGTTGGCGACAGACACGTGTCCGAAGTAAGAACGATGCGACTGATGGGACATTCCAATTTACCCGTCATCTCAATTGTAACGTACGAAGGAAGGAACCGAGGTCTATCTGTTGTTTCCTATCGTTTCGGTAAACCTACTCTCCGGAAAACGAGGGGACTATCTGTATACGGGTGAAATCGGGGATAATGCATACCCCGATTTTTCAGTGAAGAAAACAAAAGAAGGGCATGGACGTACGAGAATGAAACTGAGGTTGGGAGCCCTTTGTCTCGAAATCCATAAAAGGTGAACGATGTGCTCAACATCGGGTATGATAAAGCGTCGCGTCCCGGGCCCAGAGCAAGTTCTAAGACCTCGGAAAATACGGTAAACGGTTACACACGACGGATAGAGGGACGTGATATCCGCACCTAACCTGATATCACGGCACGGATCTCGCTCGATGTCAGTTATGGACCAGTAATTAACGAGAAATGAAGATTTTTACCTTTTTTAGACTTATACTAGGGATGAAACTCTCCTACTATATAAAGGGAAAGTTTATCTTTTTTGCAGGACATACTGTAGCGCGCAAATTAAAGCAATACAAATTTACTTTTCTGTCTTTTAACTATTGCTAAAGTTCTTATTCAATTGTTTTGTTCTTCATTCACAACTGGCTCGAACGAAGGGTCCAATCGAGGACGAAGTCACTGTTCCATCTAAGTTCAGGCTCGACCATAATATTACAACTGGTTTGATCATTTATTTCATCTTTAACTTGTTTATCTAATATTCTTGATTATTTGTGTTGAATTAAACCACGTATCCTTATAACTGCGTACAAATATAATTGTTATCCAATTTAGGAGTAAACAATCTTCACATGCTAGAACCATCTTAGCCTCGCTTCCCTCATCTTGTCAGCCACGGGGCCATTCCCACCTTATCCCGAATATTTTCGTTCATAATCTTATATCTCCTAGTATGCCCACACATCCATTTCAGCATCCTCATCGCAACTTTCATCTTTTGAATATGAGAGTGCTTGACTGGCCAATACTCTGTGCTGTAGAACATAGCAGGTCTAACAACCACTATAAAATTTATCTTTAAGTTTTGGTGACACATTCTTATCACACATAACACTCACTTTAGAATAAGGTTGCTGTCTAATAATCATTGGGAACCGTAATGGTATTACCTGCATTACCTCATTTCTTTTGTTAGATAAATCTATCTCACAACAAACGTAGCCGTGAAAGGCTGCAAAAATCCCATCTTCTTATAAAATTTAATGTTTACTTAACAGGAAGTCCGGAATTTCATTATCATGAACAGTTGCTTAATGACTAGTCAATTTTTGTACATTGACAAAAAGGCATTTTTATAATAATTGCAATATTGCCGAGTGAAGCATATACAGAATGGATGGAAAGAGAAATTCAACTTGATGTATAGTGTAAGAGAAGACATTTATTATGTAATGCTGTTCATATACCAATACCAAATAGTACAATAAAAGCTTCACTCAAAAGCTAACAATAAATTCCACATCATCTTTTATTCAATGCTATACTTAACCATATTTTGCACAACCTAGCAAGAAAACCCCATCAAAAAGTTCTTTCAAAAATGGGCAACATTTGGTTTTTGGTTTTTCTCCTTCACAAAATCATTGTCACTGAAGCTGCAATGAGTGTAGGTGGTGGTGTTGGTATGGGGGTAGGTGTTGGTGGTGGGGTGGGGGGTGGGGGCGTTTGGATTGGTGGAGGAATTAACAGCCCAAGTCCTACTTCTTCTGATATTAACAAAGCTTACACTGCTCTTCAAACATGGAAATCAGCAATTACAGATGACCCTTTGGGAATCTTGAATAGTTGGGTTGGTACAAATGTTTGTGCTTATAAAGGAATCTTTTGTTCAGAATCTCAAGATTATATGGGCAACCCAACTTCAGTTGTTGCAGGTATTGATCTAAACCATGCAAATTTACAAGGCATTCTTGTTAAAGAACTGTCCTTTTTAGCAGAAATGTCCATTTTTCATCTCAACAGTAACAGATTTTCAGGGCCAATTCCACAAAGTTTTAGAGACCTTACTTCTCTTACTGAGTTAGACCTCAGTAATAACCATTTTTCTGGTACATTTCCTACTGCTGTTTTACTCATCCCAAATCTTCTTTATTTAGACCTCAGATTTAACAGTTTCTCAGGGCCAATTCCAGAGGATCTTTTCAACAAAAAACTTGATGCTATTTTTCTTAATAACAACCAGTTTGATGGTGAACTTCCTCAGAATTTAGGGAATTCTCCATCTTCAGTTATTAATCTGGCTAATAACAAGTTTACTGGAAACATTCCATTTAGTTTGGGGTACATGGGTCCAAGAATTAAGGAGATTTTGTTCCTAAATAACCAGTTAACTGGTTGTATTCCAGAAGGGGTTGGTATGTGGACAGATTTACAAGTGTTGGATGTGAGTTTCAATTCATTAATGGGACATTTGCCTGATACACTTTCTTGTTTGAGTGGCATTGAAGTACTCAACTTAGCACACAACAAGCTTTCTGGGGATTTACCAGACTTGGTTTGTTCATTGAGAAGTCTTATCAATTTGACTCTTACTTACAATTTCTTCTCTGGTTTGAGCCAAGATTGTGACAAACTTCCCTATAGGAATGTGGGGTTTGATTTCTCATTGAATTGTATTCCAGGTAAGCAAATGCAAAGGCCACAACCAGAGTGTTCTCTCATTCCTGGTGGTAGTCTTAGTTGTTTCAGAATACCTTCAGCTAAGCCTCTTGTTTGTGGATCAATAATTAGTGAAGAAGAAACTGTTTCAACACCTCCTTCTCATTGATTTTGATTTTTATAAAATTTAACTTTTTTTTCTTAATTTGGGATTTTGGAAGTGAAAGCTGGGCACTCTGACCAATATTCTTTATGTTTGTTGGATAACAGGCTAGTATGTGCTGGCTGTTTTTCATTATAACATAGAGAAGTTATGACTTGTAGCTACAAATTTATTGCTCAAAGTCAAGTAATTAATAGTTTGGATATAGATCTGTTCATTATTTTAATAGCTTGCTAAGTGATGTTTCATGCTTTATCATATCTTACTCACATTGTCGGTCCCAAGCTCGAATAAAGGAGGAGAATGCGATAGGCTGGCAGTCAGCGTAAGATTTGTCAATTCATGATGAATTCTCATAATACCGAATCTCAACTTTGTTTGTGACTGAGGCGTAACTCTTGTTGTATTATATCGTGAAATGGTTGTAGTACTAAGTACCACAACTAACAACAACAAATAAAATGGTTGGGTGTCACATTACTCAACAAACATCCAATGTTGTGTTACTGTATGTGTGGTGTGGACTTGAAGAGCATTTATTATGGTTGAGCCTTCAAGAACATGGAGAAAAATTATAATTAGAAAGGATAGAAAGAAAACATAGTGACCTACAGAAAAAAGTTTCACGTGAGGAACAGTTGAATTGATTACTGAATGGCATTTTCTCAAATTTGTGAGTACATGATTTAGGACGACGGAGGATTTGCTACTGCCCAAAACCCAGAATTCCAGACCCCAAAATACCAAGCAAAGCAATTCATGGTAAGAGGCCCAAAATCACCTGTCTATTAGCAGATCCTTTTCAGTTTCCTAAAGCAAGGAAAGTTGCAGGGTCCTCCATGTGATGTTTTTGCAAAGGCTGTTATTAGCAACAGGACAATAGCATTTTGTTCCATCAAATTCAAGTCTTAGGTATAGGGTTATCCAAAAATGGATCATATGGTGTGGTTCATTTCCTTTTTTTTTTTTTCTTCCAGAAAGGTAAATTGTGCTTTCCCTTTTTAATAATACTGTAATAAATAAGATAAGCTTTATAGCTCCAACCTTGTCAAGGGGCTTTCACGCTCTTTGATAGGTTGGGTTGCTGGATACGGGATCCTCGTAGGAGGCTGGACCAAGATCCTATGATGGGTTCATCTTCAAAACGGTGTTGCTTGGTATTCAACCAGCTTCTACCATTCAATGCAGAAGAGGACTGATTGAGATCAGATAGCGCTCAAATGGCCACTGTTCTTAAAGAATTCTGCGCAAATGATATCACAAGAACACTGAAACTAAAGCATGGCTAGATGAAGAATTTACCTTCGCTTACCCTATATGTAACATTTCCCTGCATTTCTGCAAAGAGGTTGTTTTAATGCTTGTAACCGTGACTTAGAGTTCACCAATATAATAATTCTACAGATGTGTCAATGACTCCCAGAAAATAGAAACACTAATTTTAGTAACATTTTCCTTTATGTTTCCAAAGAAAATCAAAATCATGCACCAAGTTGAAATATTAAAATCCATGGAGGCTTACAATTATTAGTAAAAGAGATCAATTCCAATTGAACAAGACTTCCACATTTTGTGAAATGTGTTAGAATAATGTTATACACAAGTTCAGTAGAAGGAACGAATTGCAATGTCAATTGTCAAAGCTCATAATACAGATTTTTAGACAACTCTATCATCACGCAATATAGTACATGGGATTTGGAAGTTTAAAGGACCTTTTGGCAACAGCGAAACCGTTCAAGTCACTCCACTGATCTCCAGAGCTCCCATGAATCCTGTAACCTTCATCTTCTAACTCCTTTCTTTTCTCAGATTTATACTGGGTTGCCAGTTTACCATTATCGGAAGGTCCCCTGTTCCATCGCAAATGTTCAGCCACAGTTTTTAAAGTTATTTGGCCCAACATTTACTCATACAACTACCTGTGCACCAATTCCAAATAAAGGAACACTATATAAAAATATCAAAGTTGTTTGAATACCTCAAAATAAGTCTTTCCCAATTGCTGTATCCAGCATACACCATATTCTTTTCTGTATAATTCCTTTGAAATTCACTCCGACCAGTCAACAAGAATATCTTAAATCCTCGCTGTTGTAGCTCCTTGTACAGTTTTAAACTTGCAGGAATAGCAGGAGCTTCTGCTTCATTTACCCATTTGTCAAAGGCGACTTCATCAAAGATCTCCGATCTACATACAGCAGCAAAATGTGATCAACCACAGGACAACACAATAACAACAAAGAATCAAATGATGGCAAAGTGGATCTTCAACTACTGTCGTCAAAGCGAAAGCCTAGAAAAGTAATGTCTATAGGGGCTTTAAGCAAAGAGCTCAATTAAAGCTTGATTCTTAATGAAGAAAAGCACAAATCAATATACATATATAAAACGCGAAAAACTATAAATACAAACAACAATTATATGGACAAAGAAATTGAAAAAACCATACCCAGTGAAATATACTACAACAATAAACACCTCAATCCCAAGCAAGTTGGGATAAGCTATATGTATCCTCACTTACCTGTCCCTCCATTTAAGCTCGTAACAATCTAATATTTTATTATATATAATAAGTAAAAGGAGAACTAAATAAAATACTTTCTCTCTAGAAAACCCACAACGGCTAGTTAACCTCGCTAGTTTCCTTCACGCTCCGTCGTATGGACCCGCCGGACGGCGTCATTCCGGCACGTCTGGATGGGCAAACAACAACCCACCAAATGGCGAAACCACCTCTAGAAGGAAACGATGGGAAACTTTCATATGCTACTAAAGCCACCACTCTTCCAAACTCATCTTCGACGGCAATCTGTCAGAAACGGGAATCGGTAATAGCTACTCATTCTACTCACAACGGGATGCCGGCGGTGCTCTTTCAAGCATCGACTACTATGGTGTAATGGCAACTGAATGCAAATTCACTATCGTTGGCAGATTCCTAAGACCAAGACCCCAAATCGATCGAATTAGGTCAAAATTCAAGGAACTGATTTCTCTCGAGGGATCGGCTAAAATTGGGGTCTACGACAACTTTAATGTCTTTCTGGATTTCACTAACGAGGAAGATTTTAACACAGTATGGTATAGAAGAGTTATTGAAATTGAGGGCCAGCAGATGTGGTTACAGAAGTGGTCGCCGGACTTTAAACCCGAAGAAGACTTGCCAATTGCTCCGGCATGGGTCCTGCTTCATGGTCTTCCTTTTCATATGCATACTTGGCATTATGTAAAACAAGTGGTTAGCTCTATTGGCACCCCGCTTGAAATGGATCTGGCGACTAGGGGAAGGACTAGACCGAGTATGGCTAAGGTTAGAATTGAAATCGATTTGCTTAAGCCTCAACCTGAAAGTGTTTATGTGGGCTGCATTCATGATAACTCACCTCAGACAGGTTTGTACAAAGTTAGAATACGAGGGCATACCTAAGTACTGAGGTTCTGCAAGAAACTTGGTCACAACATAATCAATTGTCGTGTTCTAGAAAGGAAGAAGGCAGCTGAGGCTAGAGAAGAAGAAGCAACACAGGGAAAGGATAAGATGGAAAATGAAAAAGTAGAGGAGAAAGAAGAGGGGAGCAAGCAAAAAACAAATGAAGACAATGGACAGAAAAAAGCAGAACAAAATTTGGCAAACCAGAGCAACAACAGTGAAACAATGGGAAACAATTATAATAGCAACAATCAAAGTGTATTGAACAATGAAGAACAGAGCGTGCAGCAGCAAAATCAAACCATCAATGCAAGGGCTTCTAAAAAGAAGAAGGCGGGCAAGAAAAAGAGGCTCCCTAAGAAAAAATCCAAAGTGGTATTCAAACCCATCATCCAGCAACCAGCAGGTAAAAAGAAAGAAGGACGCAGTAATTTGGCAAGGGTTATTGAGCAGCATCATGAACAAGAGATTGAAAAGGAACAAGCAGGGAACCTTAAGAATGACCCAATGAAGACATAGATGCTAATGGCCGGCAGGAAAATACTACTGAAAGCATGTGTTCAGAGAAGGATGCAGCCTACAGCTCTAATGAGGTCGTCCAAGACTCTACCAATAACCATGAAATGAGGCAAATGTAGAGGGGCAGAGGCAATGTAACACGGCCCATGTAAATTCAGAGGGGTCCTCAAGCATACCATCTGAGATTAAGGCCATGCCAGGGCTTGACTTGGTGGTTGATCTTAATTGGGATCCAGCACAAAAGCAACAAGAGGAAGAACAGGAAAGGAAGGGAGCGGAGCAACATTTTGAGGTCACCTCTCCAAATAGAATCACAGTTACCATCCCTGAAGAGCTACTTCAAACAGAACAAAAGAATCAGGCTAATGAGGATGGCTTTTCTCCTGTTAAAAATGGCAAGGACAGAAACAAAAAAAATGGGAAGAAGAACAAAGTCAAGGCTAACCTTCCAGGTGATGGAAGGAACAAAAACTAATCCCCCACTGGTTTTTCCATGATTAACACCATCTTCTGGAATATCAGAGGTGTGGATTCTAAAAATGCCATTCAAAGGCTAAAAAAACCTATGATCATCAACAAGGTGGAATTCGTTGCTATCTTAGAACCCTTCATCACCATGAACAAAATTGAAAGGTACATGAAGTATATTGGCTTACAACACTGTATCTCCAACACTAATGGTCAAAGTTGGTTTATGTGGTCTGGTAATTATCAGACTAGTGTTATTGCTAATGACGACCAACAGATCACTATCCAGATTAATTATGCCAATGCCAATTGCAATCTCTTTCTTACTGTTGTTTATGCAAAATGCACTGCAATTGAAAGGAAAGATTTGTGGTGTAGTTTGGTTTGGCTCATGGTCAGATTACCGGGCCATAGTGCATTGGTGGTGATTTTAATATTATTTTGGATCCTGGAGAGAACAAAGGGGGTAGACCTCATAGAATGTATAAAAGTCTTGATTTCAGCAATCGTATGGCTGCGTGTGAGGTTGTCGAACTGAGGTATGTCGGCCCCAAGTTCACATGGTGTAACAATTGGGAGCCGAGAAAAAGAATTTGGAAAAGACTTGATAGGGTCTTCATTAACGATCAATGGTCTCAACTTTTTCAACATAACATGGTGAGGCATCTGGCTAGAACTGGCTCCGACCATCGACCTCTTCTTGTTAAAAGCTATAATAGCCAACATAATGGAATCAAATACTTTAAATTCCTTGATTTCTGGTCGGACCAACCAGATTTTTTGCAGTTGGTAGAAGAAGTGTGGCACACTCAGATTACTGGAAATCCTATGTGGAAGCTACAACAGAAATTGAAGCTCTTAAGTAGGAAGCTTACCCACTGGTCTAAAGAAGTCATTGGTAATGTTTTTGATCAAGTCAACATCTGGGAAGCAAAGATGCAAGAACTGGAGGAACTTGACCTTCTCAATAATAATGCTCCATCCAGAGAAGAGCTAAACAAAGGGCATGTTGAGTATATCAGGTGGATGGGAATGCAAGATACTTTGCTGAAACAGAAGGCTAAATCGAGATGGTTTGAGGATGGTGACTCCAATACCACTTATTTTCATAGTGTGATTAGAGATAGAAGAAGGAAACTTCAGCTCCATCGAATTAAGAATCATAGAGACAACTGGATCCAAGGGGAAGATAACATTGCTAAAGCTGCGGTCCATCACTTCCAACACCTTTTCAACTTGTATCATGATTTCAGAGATCAAGACATTCTTAACTACATCCCCAGCTGCATAATTGAGGAGGACAATGCCAACCTCAGTGCCATACCTGAATATGAGGAGATCAAGGAACATGTGTTTAGCATGAGTTCTTCTAGCTCAGCGGGGCCAGATGGCTACAATGGGACTTTTTATCACAAATGTTGGAATATTATCAAAGATGATGTGCAGGATTTTGTCCAAGATTTCTTCAATGGTAGAAGGCTTACCAAATTTTATTCACATACTTGCTTGGTTCTTATACCAAAAGTGGAATCTCCTACGATTTTCTCAGACCTCGGGCCAATTAGTCTGAGTAATTTCTCCTGCAAAATTGTTTCTAAAATATTGTCTAGCAGGCTCAATCCCTTGCTTAACAAGATCATATCCGAGAATCAAAGCGGCTTCATCAAAGGGAGAACTATTACTAAAAATGTTCTGCTTGCTCAAGAGATTGTCCAGAATATTAAACAGGTTAACACTGGTGGCAACATCATTATGAAACTTGACATGGCAAAAGCATACGACAGAATGTCATGGATCTTTCTTATGGCAGTTATGAGGAAGTTTGGTTTCAATGAAGAATGGATTGACCTAATCTTTAGACTGTTGATGATGTCTGGTATTCTATCATTATTAATGGTGCTAGAAAAGGCTTCTTCACCTCTTCTCAAGGGCTCAAACAAGGGGATCCATTATCCCCATCTCTTTTCATTATTGGAGCTGAAATTTTTTCCAGATCTCTCAACAGTCTCATTGGTATGACCAATTTCACTCCTTTCACTATGGATTGTACATGCCCCATTATTAACCACTTAGCTTATACCGATGATATTGTTATCTTCATTGGAGGGGACAATAAGACCATTAAGCTTATCAAGAAGGTGATTAGGAGGTATGAGAATGCTTCAGGCCAGAAGTTAATGATGCAAAAAGCTTCTTCATCACTGCCCCTAACACCTCAGCTAGCAGGATTAACAGGATCAGAAATGCTTCAGGTTTTATGGATAAAAGCTTCCCTTTCAACTATCTGGGGTGTCCTATTTATCAAAGAAGGAAAAATACTACTCTGTTCGATGGTATGTTGTCTAATATTGTGAAGAGGCTTAATGCTTGGCAGGGTAAAATGCTCTCCTATGGGGGCAAGCTGATCCTTATTAAACACGTTTTACAATCTCTCCCCATATATATTCTATGTGCCTTGAATCCCCCTAAAAGTGTGCCCAAACTCATGGAGAAACATTTTGCTAATTTCTTCTGGGGAACTTCCGAAGGAAAAAATAACTATCACTGGAGTGCTCGGAAGAACCTTTGTTTGCCTAAAGAGGAAGGTGGTGTGGGTATTAGAAGGATGGAAGATATTACGGAGCCTCTTAACATTAAAAGATGGTGGAGGTTTAGAACCCAACCCTCTCTTTGGACCACCTTCCTTAGGAATAAATATTGTAAGAGAGCCCATGTTGTGGCCAAAATTCCTATCTCCTCTGACTCTCACGCCTGGAAAAGTATGATGAAGATTAAGAAGAAGGTTGAGCCTAACATCATCTGGAAAATTCAAGCAGGAAACTCGAGTTTCTGGTGGGACAACTGGACAGGTTATGGGGCTTTGGCCATGGTTGTTCAGGATCAAAGAAAATCTGCTAAAGTTCAAGCCAAGCATTATATTTGCAATGGGACATGGGATACTATAAAGCTGAATGATACTCTTCCTGCCCATATTATTGACACTATCTCTAAGAACACAGTGGGTAAAGCAACACTGATGATTTCCCAATTTGGAATATCTCTAAAAATGGTTTGTTCTCCAATAACTCTGCATAGTTCATCAGTAAGGTTTGGCATAGTTCTATCCCTTTTAAATGCTCTTTTTTAACTTGGAGGATTTTCAAGAAAAGACTCACTTTTGATGACACTATTAGCAAATTTGGTACTAACATTGTTTCTAGATGTTTTTGTTGTAATCATGCACAGATTGAGACCATGCATCATGTGTTCAATGGAAGTGATGCAGCACAGTTCATATGGAATGAAATAGGCAAACCTCTGGGAATGAAGCATCAACTCGAACCTATTATTGGAACCTTCAAGAGATGGTGGGATGCAAAAACTACCAACACATACACAAACAGATTATGCAGATTGCGCCTACTATCATAGGCTGGGAAATTTGGAAGCAATGGACCTCATATAGATATGGCAACAAGAACAGGTTCAACCACAACGCTATGAAGTACCAAGGAGTCTGGATCATAAAGCAGGCAATTGCGAAGGTGATTCCTGGTATTGATAGCAAGGTCCAGTGGCCTTCTTATTGTGATAAGATAGAAAAACTCAAGCCGGTTCAAACCTGGAAGCAAGTTAGATGGCAAACACCCTTGGCAGATACTATCAAGGTCAATACCGATGGGAGCTTCATCAAAGAAACTGGCACGACAGGTATTGGGGGTATTGTGAGAAACAGTAATGGTGACTTAATCATGGCTTTCTCAGTCAATGTACAGAGTAATAGCAACAATATGACTGAAGCTCTTGCAGCTGAGTTTGGAGTGAAATGGTGTAGCCATCATGGGTTCACTAATTTTGTTCTTGAACTTGGCTCTCTGATCGTTGAAAATATGTTGACAAAGAAAGAGGCCAACAACCTCAAGATTAAGCAGATTGTGGACAATATCATCAACTCCATAAATGATGCTAATGTCTGCGTGCAACACTGCCTTAGGGAGGGTAACCAGGTAGCTGATTGTCTGGCTAAACTCGTTGCTACTTCCAATCAGGCCAAGATTTTCCAGAACTTCCAACAACTCCCAAACAAGGCTAAAAGTGTATTCCTTCTTGATAAATGGCAGCTGCCCACAATAAGAACAAAGTGTGAAAAATCTAATTTCTTTGTTAGCTAGAGTTGTATATAGTGTTTGGAGTGAGGACCTGTGTGTTTTTGTTTTCTTAGTCCTGCTTCATTTTATTGGGTGATGGCATCACCCCTGTTGTATTGTTTCCGAGGTACGGTTTATGCCCCCCTCATGTTCGTTTTTGTGAAATACAACATAACCCAGAACCTCCATCTGGGTAGTTTATTTTAAAAAAATAAAAAATAACAAGTATTAAAAGTTCTATATATTTTCTACTAGTACATAAATATTTGAGATAACTAAAAGACTCCAAAAAAATAGGACCTAAAGTAAATGTATTAACATGATTAAAGCTTAATCCCAACTAATTGGTATCACCCAATATAAATCTTTTTCTTCCATTGAATCATATTTTTTGCTAGGCCTGCATGGATTCCAAAAAATATCACTTCATTTGAGACTACTTTCCTCGTGTGATTTTGGGTCTACCTTGTCCAGTTTTAACCTATGTTGCTCGGACTCTCCGAAACAGCTGCAGTACCCGTGTCGGATCCTCCAAAAATACACTACTATTGGAGGATCCGACACGCACCCATCGATATTTTCGGAGAGTCCGAGCAACATAGGTTTTAACAATTCCATCCACCATGCTTTTGCACCAACTAACTGGTGTACCTGGAGGTCGATATAGGAGTTCGAACATGACAAAACCATCTTAAGCAACCTTCTCTTATTTTGTCCTCAATGTGTGCTACTTGCATCTTTTGTCTAATCTCGTATGACTGCATATCTGCGGCACTAATTTTGTGGAAACGTTTAACTTTAGCGGCCAACATTCACTCTCATATAACATTGCTGGTCTACTTAATGTTTATAGAATTTGACTATTACATTGGTAGGTATCTTCCATCATATAAAATTTCATACCACTTCTCGGTTTCAACCATTCTATTTTTACTGAATACTAAGTAAAAACCATACCAATCAAGTTCAGAAAACATTTTTAAGAATTTTGATAGATGCAAAGATGCAATTTTAAGTTTCTAATTCGAATTTTATGACTAGTTCTCTATAATAAATTTCTCAATTCCCTATTCTTAATTACTGGATATTCATTTATAACGTCTATAATTTTTCAGATATGTTTATTGTTTACTACTGCCCTCTTCAAGACAGAGTTCATGCACAAAGAGGCACAGACCTTTGTACCTTGTGGAACGCAGTCCAAGTGAGGCGAGACACCCAGCCCATGTTGCGCCTAATTTCAGGGTCTTTGGTACACTTTAAACGATCCTTTGATAACACTGTCTTCAACTGGACTTCAAATACTTATGCATCAACGTCAACAAGAGGCACACTTTCTTCTGTTCTTTTCGTGACAAACAAGGGGAATGGTCCACACTTTAATTTTGACAATATTCTTCCGCAGTTTATCCAATACTTTTTAGAAAAGTATTTAGTTTATCCAGTAAACAAGAGTGCGGATAAGTAGAACTACAGAACAAAAAGCAGCCAAATAAAGCTACATTCTAGTAACTGCCAACCCTATTCCCAGTTTTACCATAAACGCCTGCCTGAACTCGAACTCGCTAAAACGACAGGACTTTCTATTGTTGCGGGTTCTAGAATTATAGAACTTTAAAGTGAGTACCATATAACTTCTTAAATTACTTTCGCGATTGACCAAACCAAATGAAATCCTTTTCTAAATAATTATTAACCACACCAGACCGAATGGAATCTTACTTCTAAAGCATAATGGATTAAACGCTAAATCTTAAAAAGGAAAACAAACTGATAACTGCTTCAGCAGGTAATGAATTTCTCCATCACTAACCATTTCATATCTCCCCAATGCACGAGATTAAATAATCATTGCCATAGAGACCTAATGAGCTGTATGATTAGAATGCCACAAGCAAGTAAAAGTTCAAAGTGCAATCTATTCTAAATCAGAACATCTAAACTGACCCTCTGTCAGCCAAACTACATTAAATAACTAGAATCTTCTTGGTTAGCAGTATCACGTGGAATTCAACTTTAAATGGAAAACATCCTTATTTATGAACAATGAAACGAAGGGGTTAAAACTTCAATATAACTTTGGCTCTTTGGGCTTAAATAAATAGTTCAAAACTGGAATGTACAAGAGCAATAAAACAGAGTAATCCTCAAGAAAGTACACAAATTGTAGTATATACTTCTTTCTCAAGTAGAATACCAAGTATTCTAGGCTAAACAGTGGATCGTGTTTATGAAGTTTACCTCATGACATAGCACTCTTCCATCCTATGGTTAATTGTTAAAAGAGGCATAATGGAGTATCCCTAAAGCTTTTCCACAAAACAGAAACTAGGAAAAGTGCCAGGTACAGAAAACAAGTTGAAGCTTATATTGTTTAGAAACTTCAAGCATGTTACACTCTAACCAAATTCAATATACACCTTGATCCTTGATAAACACTAGTCTACTATCAACACAGAAAGAAGCTTAGGCAGTCATCTCAAGCCAAGTAGACAACATCTCAAACCATTACTATTTAAGGTTCACAGTAAAAGGATACCGAAACTAATTAAATTGTATTTGCATTCTATGATTTAGGAAAATTCAAATAGAAAATAAAAACTCTGACAAATCAAATCACCATGCTTCTACGAGAGAACATAATTGGATAAAAATCACTGCTACTGCTTTCAAAAAGATGAAAATTTTCAAGGATAGCTTCAAGGGACTACAACTAAGTCTTCCAATTGCATCAATGGAGTCTAGTTTTCACCTCGAATTCCTTCAGGCTAGCCTAGCAAAGAAATAGATAATAAAAGAAGCTACTGCATGAAGCTGCAAAATAACACTGCTCAACCTGTTTGAATGGCTCTATGGATCAGCGATTTCACATAAAAAAAACTGTGGATTGGAAATTTTGAGAGTCTTTAACTAGTGAGTGCACAGAAACCAATAGGCTGTTCCTTTTTTGCATTTTCTGTGTGTGTAGACTCTAGCGAGTGGTTGCTGCATGATTGCTTGATAAACAAAGGTTATAGAATGAAGATGGAGTCAGAGTTCCTAAAGTTTTGTCACACTTGTTTGTTATGATTAGATTCAGATGTGCATGCTCCAGTACTTTGACAGTTATAATTTATCTTGCAGAGGATACTTGTAAAGTACTAGCGGATGCTCAACTAAGAGTTACAAGATTCATAATCACCACAAAAAATAAAATGAATATTTCGTATATTTTGGTATGCCTAGTGATCTACTTCAATATGGCATATTGGTATTCATGGAGACCATCAAGCATATAAGCTTTTCCTAGCAAAAGAAGACGGTTGGACATGAAAGCAGAAGAAGGAATTTTCACAACTTTACAAGACAGGTGATCTTTGAAGAAAGACCAACAAAATGGAACTTCACTCTTTTGAGTTTGTTAATTGTCAAAAACTCTGTCGAAAAGCACATATTTTTACAAGCTCCAAAAAAGGAAAAGCATGCATGAGTATCTCATTGAGGCCAATTTTATGTATTTATGCAGCAACCTATCGATAATATTGCCTAAGTTTCCCAATCACACATAATGGCATGATCGCTAAAGGATTCCTTATTTATTCACATTTAGCTGTTGTTGATGTGAATTAATGGTAAATGCTATCTTTCCCCAAGTCAAATATATCCCTAGAATTAGCAAGTTTTTACAAACTAAATGAAACCAACAGCACTATACCAGAGCACAAATTACACGGAAACTGAAACTATTCAAACTCATTAACAAAAGGGATTTAAAGAAAAATTCATTTCACTCTAATTTTCCAATGGTAGGACTTCTAATGCAAACTCCCTTTGTATAGTAATAAAGCATGTTGTTTAATCAGTACTGCCTCCACCTCAATTTATGTGATGGTATTTGCTTTTTAATCGGTCCCAAAAAATAACATATTTCTATATTTAGAAACAATCAAGCTTCTAATTTTGTCGTTAATGAGATGATTTGCAGGCACACAAATATCTACAATTTAATTTAAACCACAAGTTTCAAAAGTTTTTATTATTTCTTAAACACTGTGCCTAATCAAACAACATTACATAAATTGGGATGGAGGGAGTAACTAAGCAATCCAACCAGTCCAAACATATAGCGATAACCAAAAAATGCATATGAAAGAAAAGAGAAAATTCAGCAAATTAAAAGGGAAGTAACAATCATTTCGATCGTTCGATCGATAGAGAGAGAGAGAGAGAGAGAGAGAGAGAGAGAGAGAGAGGGGGTGAGAAGGTTTATTGAGGGACTTGCTTAGTCTATCAGATTGCAGATAGCTAAGGAGCCAGGGAAGGAGATTTCTTTCAGGATACAACCAATGCGGACAGACGAGTCGAGATGGTTTTAGCTCAGGGGAGTGGTTAGGGGTCGCCTCGTTACTCCGGTGGATTCATTGGGACCTCTTCTGGAAGTCGAGGTACTTTTGGTATAGGTCATCATCCCAGGCCGTTTCGTTCAGCGCTTCAGGCATCCTATGGAGCTTCAGGGGGTCGTGGTCCTTATGTACCTCCTTCAGGGCAGGCAAGTTATAGTGCCCCGCCAGCTCCTATCAGAGCACCTCCTCTTTAGAGTTATTATCGCGATCAGCCGGCTCGTCAGGGTCCTTCTCAATTCCCCAGCAGCAGTATTCAGATGGATGTTTTGAGTGTGGTGAGTATAGGCATATCTAGAGGACCTGTCCGAGATTAGTGGGTGTTCAGTCGCAGCAGCAGAGTTATCGTGCTATGGTTCCAGCACCACCTGCCCAACCAGCTAGAGGTAGGGGTCAGGGAGCCAGGGGTAGGGGTCAGCCCGCTAGAGGTGGAGGTCAGGCCGTCAGGGGTGGAGGCCAGGCCGCTAGAGGTGGAGGCCAGCCAGTAGGAGGTCTGGCCGTCAGGGCTGATAGAGAGGTTGGTTGCTATTACTACATTCAGGAGATCAAAGGTAGACCTGCAGGCATCCACAGGACCTGGCGTCCCCTCCTATCTTTGCTTCATTTCTGTTTTACATTCTCCGAGACATATATTTTCTTTCAAAC